GACCCCCCTCCCATTTCTTTGGTTGTTGACAATTTAATAGCTATTTTGTATACGATATATCTGATGCTATTTATCGTTATTTGATTGTATTTAACTTGTGTTTACTCTAATGTGGTAGATGCATAGAGTCAGTATTTGTATTGTCTTGAATGTGAATGTTGTCTTTTTTTCACCAAGATAACTTAATATGATTCTGCCATCAGAAGTACATTGTGTATATGTACATTGTATTTTATGACCAACAGATAATAAAAGTAATAAAAGCAATACAATTGCAGCAAGGCATCGCAATGCTGGCCATGTGCAGCTGGTAGATGACGAAGGGACTACATATTTCATCCATACATATTAACAACAGTAAACATAATGTAAATACAATCAAATAACGATAAATAGCATCAGATATATCGTATACAAAATAACTATTAAATTGTCAACAACCAAAGAAGTGGGAGGGGCGTCTTGGGCGTCTCTACTGAATGTGTATACGGCAGAGTTGGAGCATGCGCACATGTTTGTAAAATCACGTGATTACATCACGAGTTCTCTCCACGTGTGAATACATGTGTTTGATGTTCTGCTTACCAGCACAGATTACTTCTTTTTCCACGAAAATACGTCTGGCTCTTGCATAAACATTAACTGCTATTGCATCACCTCATGCCACGTCATTCTTCCAAATAAGGGTAAAAGTAACCATACCTCGTCAGACCAATTGAGGTATTATTTGGTTTATTCATGAGTTTTTGTACAGCTATACTCTACGAGACAATATAGTTTACGGTCTTTTGAATTTATTTTATTAACCTTATTTTGAGTAAAAATAGCGATTGTAGCTTGAAAACCTAAATCCCCAACTGACAGTTCTAAATAGAACACTCGGGTTCTACTTGTTCCGACAGCGGAAGGCGTTGGAAGATTCCATTGCTGCATGAAGGTATAGACTATTGGAACACTACATTTTGGACAGGGGTAATTTAGGAACAATCCATTTCGTGCAGGAGAGGGAAAGGTCCATTTTTGGTACGGGGGACGTGTTGAAGCCATTTGCTGCATTTGCTCCCGAGCAAACGTCGGCCTTTCTAGTTATCATATAATTTTGTACGCATGGTGCTAGCAGGTCTGATTTTTAAGATATTTAGAAATTATGAATAGAAAATGGTCACATATTCACCCCATCTAGCAAGTTTGTAGTATTCTGTCTTTATTCTTTCTTAATTTTATCTTCATTCTCTTTATGTTTTATTGAGATTCAAGACAATACAAATACTGGCTCTATGCAGCTACCACATTAGGGTAAACACAACTGAAATGCAATCAAATAACGATAAATAGCATCAGATATATCGTATACAAAATAGCTATTAAATTGTCGACAACCAAAGAAGTGGGAGGGGGCCTTGGGAGTCTCTACTGAATGTGTATACGGCAGAGTTGGAGCATGCGCACATGTTTGTAAAATCACGTGATTACATCACGAGTTCTCTCCACGTGTGAACAGATGTGTTTGATGTCCTGCTTACTAGCACAGATTACCTCTTTTTCCACGAAAATGAGTCTGGCTCTTGCATAAAAACAAAATGCCATTTCATCACCTCATGCCACGTGATTCTTCCAAATAAGGGTAAATGTAGCCTTACTTCGTCAGACTAATTAAGGTATTATTCATGGGTTTTACAGCTATACACTGCGCGACAACGCAGTCTGCACAGTACGATCGAAATGAACGAACAGGGAAAGGCTGTCCGGCCGCCTGTCTCCGGCCCCGACAGCCGCCAAACAAGCGGGCGTATCCGCCACGGTAACAGCGCTTCTGACAAGCAGCAGGAAGATCAGGACACGTCCTCACACACGTACGAAGATGTCGATGGGCAGAAACGTTACGCAACGCAGCGGGAAGACCAGGACACGTCTTCACACACGTACGAAGATGTCGATGGGCAGAAACGTTACGTAAAGTCTGCAGGTAAAGAACTAGCCTTTTACAGTGGATATTTGGTACAATTTACAAGTGCCTTTTATAAAAAGCTAGTCGTT